ATGGAGGGATAATTATTTTTTATGTATCAATTAAACAAAGTTACTACATGAGTCTTAGCTAATGATTAAGACACTACATAAATCTTATGAAATGTTATGTATTTCTTATGTACAAACTAAACAAATCGTATTACATAAGTCTTCCAAAATGATTAAAACACTACATATATGAAGGGATAGTCATTTCTTATGTATCACTTAAACAAATGCATAACGAATGTCTTTCGTAATTTTGTTAATGTCATTTCTTATTACACATGCATAATTTCGTTAAAAAACACTACATATATGTGATGCTCAAAGATGAATCTTACCCGAACAATTTTTTTAATTATTTAATTTCAACTAAATTATTAAATTAAGTTGGTAAAATTATAAATATAATTAGCTTATTACCGCTGCGAAATTAGAGGGATATTAAGTTACAAGAATGATCGAAACTTTGAGATTATCCAATGGACGTGCATCCCTTGCGTTGCGCTGGAAACTAATAGGTTCCATGAACCAAATCTCCATCGATCACATTACCAATGGATTATGAATCTCCCAAAAGCATCCAAACATAGACCCCAAAATTGATTTAACTCCTTCCCTCCCAAGTCATTGTCCACTCACTTTACGGTTCACCAATAATCAAACCAAATCCCCATTAAAATACAGATTTACACAAGTACACAGCACAGACGTCGTTCCAGATTCATGCCACCACACCACCCAATTTTGATCTTCACCATTCATACACAAACCAAGCTAAGATCAAGTTTAATACAAACTAAACCAAAGGAGTCAACTTCTCTCCCAACTTACGTAGATGGGAAAGCATTAGATTATTGAATTGAATTGGGTACTTCTATTTCCAGACATTTGGAGACACATCTCCTTATCCCCGCATTTTTTTTCCTGTTAAATAATTGTCTGAACTCTGAACCAAAACACCGTTTTCTTCCCTTTGGCATCAAACCAACACGTTCTTCTGCTCCCTCTCTCACCCTTTTCAATTCCACTCTGTTATAAATACCCAACACCTCTTTTCCTTTCTCAAACATCGCCCCAATTCACAACAAGCGCTTCCGGTTTTCTTTTTCTTTTCCAGAACGGAACCCAACCCATTAGTCCCAAAAGGCCCGATTCTAAGCGCCATGGATGTTCTGTTTGACACAGAGGGCCGGAGGGTTAGTATTGGTGGTGGGATTTATGGCGATGGTGATCATCAGCTTGAAGATGATGTCTTCTATTCGGAGCTTGTGAGGCAGGTCCTGATCTTAACGGCGGATGACGAAGACTCCTCCGCCGCGATTCCCCACCGGAACAAGTTGGGTTACTTCGATTCGATGTCACAGCCTGCTGCTGGAACTCGAAGCTCATTCTCTAGTACTACTGATTCGGTACCAACTTGGCCGGCGGTGAACAACATGTCGAGGAACGGTGGCGGCGGCTTTGGTGGTACTGGCGTTTTCATTCCTCTAACCGCCGCCAAATCCAGGAGAAGGAACGGGAATGGTAGTAATGGTAAGTGTTTAAATCTCTTTGGTACAGTACAATCGTTTAGGGTTCTGTTTTGGTTTCGCTTTCGTACTCAATTGGGTGATGTTCGTTGCGCAATTCGCAGGCAGACGAGGTAGCAATTGTCACAAGCAGCAACAAGGACAGGAGAAGATGGTGCAGAACAAGCACTGACGATTCATCCAACTTATCGTATTTCTGGTTGCAGATCTTAGGACCTAGTAGTTGAACTTGAACACATTAGCGCAATCCCCTGAATTCCTAGGGAGAGCAGGGCAACTATGAACATTGATTTGATCTTCTTGTAAAACCAGTTCGTTCGTCACAATAACAAGAGTGGTCATTCCATCCGCAAATTCGTCATTCAACCTACACTACATTAGTGTTTTTAGTATTCATCCTGCAAATCCTACACTACACCTGGAAAACAACAACACAAACAGAATCCTGCAAATCCCATCATTTCCCTAGCTCCACACTCTGAAACGTTGCCTGTTTTTGAACCAATCTATCAATCTCTTGGTCGAGCTATCCACAGAGAACTCAGGGCCCTCAACCCGAGAGGTGTAGTCACTGATTACCAGCAGCGCGCGAGCAGCCTGCCGAGTCGTCAGGATTCGATGCAGCTGCTGCAGAGTCTGCTGCCGCAGCAGGTCAGCCTGGTGGAGGAAATTCTCCAGCGTGGCGAGCTTGCCCAAAGCAATCCGCCACGTTGGCACCACTGCCGGCTGGCCGTAACGATGCCGAAGAAAGCGTGTCGACGAGGGATTGCTGCAACGCTTCCATCCCCTGCGACAGCGCATCTTCCCCCTGCTGAGATGACTGCTGCAGATTGCATATCCCCACCAGCTGCTGATCTGTCAGCGGCTCCAGGTGGTTCCCTAATATCTGGGGATTTTCCACGTCAGAAAGACACTATTTTTTCAGTAAAAAATTAAGTCAATATAATGGTGACGATGCTCTTCAGCCGGAGAGCATGTGGAAGACGTCGGCCTTGGCGACGATCCTCTTCAGCCGGAATATCTCGTCGTAGTGATCCATGACGCCGTCGACGAGAATGCGGAGTTGGTTGTCGCCCATTTGGGAACTCACGGCGGCTCTCAAATCGTGCGTATTCCATGTCGTCAACCCAACTCAAAACAGACCCCTTTTTGTATTTCCTAAACTACTGATAATAATAATAATTAGCTAATAAAAAGCAGCACAGGAAACGGATTAGGATCACAACACAAAGTAGAACAAGGACAAAATGTGACACTGTATTGCCTCCCCCTTTTCCTTTCGGAAAAACAATACATAGATATCCATATGGAACAAAATCCAGAAGGAAATACAAAAAGAGGAGATGCTAATGCCTAATGCACAGTGAGAAGGAATTAGGGAGAGAAAGGCATCTGATTCCTCAATTCCGAAACAGACCCACCACCACCACAGATTCGGAGCAGAAATGTAAGCTGCTCTGCTGCTGGCTGCTGCTACCGTAATCAATGGAGAAGCAAAATGTAAGCTGCTGTTGTTGTTGCTTCCATGGACGAGTGTGACATTGTTCCCTGATTTTAAACCGAACGTGGAGCCTACAAACCACCACCAAACCCAGGTTTTAAAAGGAAAGAAAACTAGAAACCCCCATGACTTTTACAACACGAAAAAAGATTTCGTTGATAAGACTTACTTGGGCTTAAAATCAACAGCATGGTGGTGCGGGAAAGCAGGAGGAGGTGGGGGGAGAGAGTGAGTTGCTGTTGGTTGGGGATGATCAATCTCCCCAAGATCACCAAACCGGGTTTGGCTTCTACAGTCTTAATCTTCTTCTCCTTCTACTTCTCCTCTGTTTTCCCGTGGTGGGGAAAGGGGGAATAAAACAGAGCAAGTCAACTATTTTATGCATGGATCAAAATAACTCATCCATCCAATGATAGTTTCAGAGAAAAAATAAAAGGATGAGGGAAAGAGGATACCGGAAAAAGAAAGGAGGTGGCGGAACAGAGGATTTGCAGTACATTTCAGATGCATGGAAAACAGTAGGAGGAATGGTATCATGATGATGATGTGATGATGACGCTGTATGCCTGAAGCTTTGTTGCATCTTCAGGGTGGCGGAAAAAGAAAACAGAGCAGGGCAGGGTGCTCTGTTTTAGTGTTTCCTTTTTTTTTTTTTTTTTTTTTTGGTTCAGAGTAAAGAAAGAAAGGAAGAGCGAAAGCGAGCATTTATCTATGCTTTACTTGCTCATTTATTATCTCTTCCCAGCTACTATCTTCCTCGAGCTCTTCAACAGTGTTATCTCTCTCCCCATCCCACCACCACCCCCATTTCTTCTTATGGGTTGCTTGCTGCGGAGACGTTTGCTTTGATTGCAGTTGCAGAGAAGTGGAAAGAAGAAGGGCAGAGTGTAGGAGTAGGAGAAAAGGAAAAGAGAAGTGAAGTTGCAGTAGTAGGGACTAGGGAGGGAAAGGGTAAATCTTTTTGGTATGATCTTAGTAAAGAAAGGATATCGTATCAGTACGGCCTCTTTTTATGTGACAGCAGCAGAAGTGGCAATTTCAATCCAATCCACCAATCCAATCCATCAATCCATTAAAAATATCCACCTAATCCAATCCATTTAAATCCAATCCATTTTGATCCAAATCCAATTGGATTGGTGGATTCATGGATTGGATCCATGGATCATTGGCAAATTACGGTTTAGTACCTATAATTTTTATTTTTTACATTTTTGGTACCTAAAATTTAATTTTTTATACGAAAAATATCATTGGAAAATTACGTTTTGGTACCTAAAAATTTTCATTATGACATTTTAGTACCTAAACTTTTTACATTTTACATATTGGTCCTTGGTTGAGGATATCATTTGGATTCATGGATAATCCACCAATCCACTTGATCCAATCCATAAATCCATTAGATCCAATCCATTTGATCCATGAATCCACCAATCCAATCCACCAATCCACCAATCCAATCCATTTGCCACCTCTAGACAGCAGGTAGAAGAAGAAGAAGAAGAAGAAAAGTGAATTTCTGAAAGAAAAAGGAAATTTGGGTTTTGAGGAAAATGCTTATAGAATATAGATGTTTACTCCTGCTCTGGTCCGGTTTCCTCTTTCATTTCTCTTGTAATCGATCTTACAAAGTGCAATGCAAGTGATCCTATTGTCCAAAAAAAAAAAAGAGAGAAATGCATTCGAAATATGAACAAGTGTCAAACTCTATGATCAAAGATGAGAAAAATGAGACGCAGCTACATTTGAAGAAATGCAGGGTTCCAAATGAAGAAGAAAAGGCTCGAGGAGACGGGAATCAACGCAATAATGCCTTGCAATGTGAGTTATAATAATTTACCAAGACAGAATCACATACAAGTTACATTGTTGATTTTCACACGATGTAAAAGACTGGAAGTGGAAAACCCACATATTGTGTTCAATTAAAACCTGATCAACCCAACCCCCCACTTCCACAAAAAAATGAGAAGGATGATCAAGTGTTGCTATCAAAGAGATACAGATTCTTGTATGTTAACATCAAACCTATTCTGGGTCAATACTTCCCGCCCTCGAGCACTTCTGTGTCGAAGGCGCTGGTGTAACGCTTCCGACAACTGGTTGAAGAACTCGGCGTCCCACCTGTGGATTAGCAACGGGTCTTCTGCATAACATATGTACATCGACGTAACGGCGCTCTCAACAACCACCATTGCAACTCCAACCTGTACAAATAACCCAACCATTCTTAAATTTTTCTCAAACATGACCTGGCTTCATACAGACAGTACTATGCAGGGACTAACAGACCAGCATAAAGAATGAAAGGGGGAGCTCGTTGACCATCTGAAGTGTTAGCCATCGCCTGTAACCGGGATTCTATGTTGGGTTCTTTAGAACTTATCTTTTCTGGCTACACCGAGTATAGTATTCTTGGATTTGAGATCTTCAATCCCTTAATGTTTAAAACTCTAGCTTCAAATCCATGGATTCCCCAAATCTCAATGATACAAAATCCCAACTTCCGGATGATCCCTTAGATTTATCTGACTACTTCTACAAAGAAACATTGCTTACTCACCCTCCAAATCCTCTTAACAGTGCATGACTAAGTCTTACAAGACGAGCTAAGAGAGGGCATGAAAATTGCTATAAGCCTAGAACTTACAACTAATGATCAAATTTTGAAAGTGATTAGTAATGCACATAGAAGAGACTCTCGTTTGAAAAGTAAAGGATGGCAAAAAGAACTTACCAAGACCATCCCCATCAACATTGCAGTGGATCCAACCATTAGCATTCTCTCATTCTTGGCTTCCCACTTGAAATGAGTCCATATTGCCGCACAAGTCCCTGTGATAAGCCCACCTAATATTGTTCCCATCAAAAGAACAGCACCTGAACAATCATATGCAACCAGTGACTCAACTCCAGTTGACTGAAATAGCTCCCACGCATCCCGTGCTGATCGATTAAACCCTTTCCCAGATACAGCTATCTGAAGGGCAACACAGTACACAGCAATCTGAATAACTGCTCAATCTTCAACAATTCTATTTATACTGAACCATATCAAGTTTGTCTACCAATAGAAACATGATTCAAAATTTCAGAAGGTTCAAGAGGTTTACTGCAAGTTACCTGGACATAGGCATACTTGTTGAAGAAACGGACAAGAGTCTCCACAAGATGAAACATAAGATCGACACAGCAAAGCAAGCACTCATTCTTTCCTATCTTTGACCTCAACCCTCTGATCTAAAATTGTGAATGAAACATAATTAAAGCACACACAAAAGCACGGGGAAAACCCCTAAGAGGAAAAGGAAGTGGTCACTGTGCCTACCTCCCAACGCAATGTCCGAATTGCAGCAGTGAACAGTGAACCATAGCAAATGCTGCCAAAAGAGGTCGTGAGAGTGTATTTTATAGCCTTCATCAAGGAGTTGGGAGGCATTGATGCAGCATCTCGGCCACCGTGGATGAGAACAAGGAACACCATTCCAGAAACTATAACGTGTACCATATTACATATCACTGCACCCGTCCAAAACAAGCTTATTGACAAAACCTGAATATCATCATTGACGGGGATATAGAAAAGTCACTAAATGCTGTAAAAAGGGACATGATAAAGAGCAAAACTTGCCAGCTCACCAAAAGAAGCCACCAGCCACCACCATCGGGCAAGTTCAAAGCCAGCACTCCAGCTACTCCAAAAGACCATAATACCATCCATAAAAGCACTACTAGCATGAATGCATATGCAACTCTCAGGACTTCAGGAAGACTCCATACCATCTTCACTGACTTTTGCAGAACCAGCATGGTAAAAGGAAGTCTGTTTATAGCAGCACGTTATTAGAAATATTCGTGCAACGTGATTTACACCTTTCTTTACAAATGTAAAACCATTGCTAAACACATGGCATAACAAATGAATGACGATGCTCAATATGGAAGAAATTCTCAGAGACCAGCACTAACAACAGAAATGAAAAAGGGAAAGCACATATATTACATTCTTTAAGGCTAAGCACCACAATGCAAATAATAGATGTTGGAACTCAAGTCAATTTTGCTGTTCTCGGCCAAGATTTTGTAACCATAGTTTCCTACTGCAACTTAACAATGCTACTTTGCCATTTTATGTAAGTTTAACTATGTCTGTGCCTTTCCCCATATAGCAACAAAAAGTTAAAAACAGGCTCTCAAGTCTAAAACCTCACTCAGACATCAAGTTAGTAGTCATTGCTTCATGACCTCAAGAAAAAAGACTAGGATTACAAGAGACATCCAAAGTATTTGATAAGTTGCTAGCTTCAAGAGCAACTTGAAGACACTATAACGAATACACAACAGAGGGTCGCAATGAGAATTTTTCTATGGAGGCACAATCATCATCCTGTCTCACAATTCAAAATCTACCACTGTAACAACAGAGGGTCGCAATGAGTATTTTTCTATGGAGGCACAATCATCATCCTGTCTCACAATTCAAAATCTACCACTGTATATGTAGACGTAAAAACACAACGTTTTCAAAATGCTTACCGGTCTATAACTGATATAACATACAGAAACTGCAATCCAGCTCCAATAGCAAACGTCACACCCCAGAAGAACTGCTCGGACCAGAAACACAGAACACTAATAACTGCAAGATAAGTGGTCAAGATATGGACAGCGATGTTCATCATCTGATTGGCAAAAGAACCAAGCATCAACAACCAAGCCCAACCAAGTAGAGTCCCAATTCCGCCAGCCAAAGCATAAATGGGCCAGTAATCCTCGGTGTAACCCCACCCATGGCTGCCATCACCATGATATATATCGAGATGAAACCTATTCTTTCCCCTGAACTTATTGAAGCCCAACATCACTAGAGCAAACCCTATTCCAATGAGATGAACTGAAAAGATTCCTGACCAGAAAACATCGTGCCATTTCCGGGGTACGTCAATTCCCAGTGATTGAGTACCACCCCCGTCAAGACTCCTCCCCACAATCTAAACAATTAACCCAAAACAGAGAAACAGTTAGAATCAGGTTCTTTCGTGAAGTATCAAAGAAATCACAGATGACATTCAGGACACAGTAGAAAATGGAATGGAAAAAAGTTGGAACCTTTCACAAACTAACACAACTTGGGAACACGATCTTCAAAAAGAAAACCGCTTTGCCCCCAAAATGTTATGGAAGTGAAAACCCTTTACAGAGAATCCTACGAGGATTCCGTATAAACTTGGCAATTCGACAGATCACAGAAACGCAATTCAGATATGGTCTGTCCCTAAAAAGGGTAAATTACTGATGAATCGGAGAGATCAACAACCATTCAAAAACGGACCAGTGATGAGAATTCAATAGGGTCATGAGAAATTACCAAACACAAAAAGAAACTGACCTGATCGGCGGTGGAAGGGGAAGCGGCGGACGAAGACGAAGTCTTAGAACTGGGAGAGTCGCTCATGGCGGGCGGAGGCGACGATGACAAAGATTCTTTCTTCTTCTTCTTCCAGCAGTGGCTTTCTTTGCTTTAATCAAGATGAAACGGTGGGGGGATGGAGAAAACTGGAGTGGTGGCGAATTAATTATTAATTAGTCAATAATTAAGAAGATGAAGAAGAAGCAGAAGAGGGGTTGAAAGTCCAAGTCAGTCATCTGAGGAAACGAGGATTGGAAGTTGAGGCAGAGAATAAGAAGATGAGGACAAACTGGGGAGTTGTTGGTGTTGCTGTTGGTTACTGTTTAGGGTTCTTTTCCCATTCCAATTCTGTGGGGAGTGAAAAGGGAAACTGATCAAGGGGAAGGGTGGGGGAAAAATTGCGCGAAAATGATGGTGGTCAACTGCAGAACAAAAAAACTCACAACGGCTAGAAAACGTGGAGTAGGGGGCGGAGATGATCCGCGCGCCGGCTTAGATAGAAGAATTGCGGCAGGGAAAGGAAGTGCGAAGACCGGAGAGTAGGCGAGGAAGTGGGGAAGTCTTCCGTCAATCAGAATCTGACCAGCAGAGAGAGAGAGAGACCAGACCACTTTACTCTCTTCGGATTCGCCAATATACGCCACCGCCACCGCCCACCGATGGTGCCTTTTCGCCACCTCTGCAGTATAAGGCAGGGTCATATATATATATATTATACGTTGGTCAAATTTGTTTTAGAAAATATTGATGTTTCATAAATTATTTGGTATATTGGGGGAAAATAAAAATAATCATATATAGAGGGAATTTTTTCCCCTTTGAATAATTAGTAAAAAACAATTAATCCTTATTTTATATGGTTATTTCTTATTACGGTAGGTAGGTTATTTACAAGATCGACATATACCGTTAGATACATCCTTTCAACTTTTGTTAAAACTAGTGATGGCAAACGAGTGAGAAATGACAAGTATAACAAATTCCCAATACTCATATTCGTCTCGTACTTAAGCGGGTTAGTTGGATAATATCCGTACGGACACGAATCGAGACAGGTTGACTTATTCTCTTTAGATAATGATGAAAATGAATGTTAAATTTTATTTTTTTTACCATAAAATATAAAATAAAAACACTTCATGAATGAAAATGACAATAAGCAAATGGGTAGTTGAGTATAAGATGAAAATATGATTAAGGAAAAAATTAAAATAGAAAAATGCAAATAGATATTGAGATAAAATGAGTAAAACTGGAGGCAATGCAGAATAAGACAGGCGGAAAGAAGACCCTACTTTGTTGTGGTGGGTAATATCCGTCTCGGGTCCGAGTTAAGATTGTTTTAGTGAGATTGTTAGAATGTTTGCATTATTTAAAATATATCGCTTGTTTTATTTTAATGTACATATAGTACATATTACTTGTATTGTTTGTTTGGTAACATAAGCAAATAAACAATCATTCAAAATGATTATTTAGTTGAAATTGTTTTTTTTTTTTTTCAAATTTATTGTTTTTTTTTTGCATTGAAAATAAGAATATAATTCTAAGAAAAAGAGTATAAATGATATTTCCACTAAAAATGAAAAGTAACTTTTCTTTTTATTAGAAAAATACTTACTTATACCTATTTTCCATGAGAAAACTCGTGTTGAATTGAAATTAAATGCGCCTAGACTACTTGAACGGTGATTAATAAAACATGGCTCATGCCTCACACACATAGTTAGTAAATACTCCGTTTAATACACGTATATGTACCCGTACGTACTTTATCCGTTTAAAATTTTGTATACATATTATTGTTAAGCCGTTTCATTTTTTCCCATTCATTTGATGGCTCCCGTACTAAACATGTATAAAATCCGTATAACACGTTTAGTATCCGTATTTAATGAATTAAATTGTTAACTTTACTATTATTTATATATATTTGTTTATAAAATAATTAATTTCATATATTTATGATTATTAACGTACTATTAAACGTAACATTAGCTTAGAGACGAAGTGTAAATACTTGTACGTATTTTATACGTAACTTTCTCGTGCGTATTTTACTAACTAACACCTCTTTAAAAAAGTCTCAATGAGGGTGTTTGACTGGGGGAAAGTTAATCTGCTAACTTGAAGATTCCTTAGCAAATATTAACTTATATCCAAAATACATGAACTAATATCCAAGTACTAAAGTATCTAGAGAGCACAGACTAGTATTCAAAGTTTGCTAACTGATATCCATCATGAATCAACTATTATCCCAAATTCACAAACTAATATCTAGACAACACAGAATAGTATCCAAACAACACATAATTAGTATCCAGATAACACATAAGAGTATCCACATTGAATACTAGTTGGTTGATTGTGAATATTAGTTGGTATCTTCTATCTGGATACTAGTTTGTGATGTTTTTAATACTAGTTTGTGCTATCTAGATACTTAGCAGACTTTGATATTAGATCATACATTTTGGATATTAGTTAGTATATACTAACGAATCTTCAAGTTAGCATAATAACTAGGCTGGACTGACTGATGGTTTTTTCAGGAATGAACTATTAAGTTAAGTTACCCCTATTCCTATGGATAGAGTTAGAAATTTGGTACCAGTATTTGGGATATACTGAATACCGTACCGAATTTGTTTATATTTGGCATTACCGAATACACGTATTATTTATTTTGGGATTGTGATTGAATTTCAAGTGTTGTTCAGTAGATTGAGATCTATATATACTGAAATACTGATCAGTACTTAAATATAAGCTAGTGTGTACATTATCTCTCTCATTCTCTACTACCACAAGACCCTAAACCACCAAGAGTGTCATTTAATTATACATAACTCATTCTCTCACTATTTGACAACTCATGCCAAACTTTTGTAGTATGTTTATGGGTTGCTTAATCTTCCTATTTTTTGGTTTGTTGCTTGATATAGTTTGCTCATGTGCTTCATAAATTTTCTAGTGTGTTGTTATTATACTTTAGATTTTCCCCTATTTATTTTGTACGAGAATTGACACCACACCATTGTTTGTTTTTATATACTTTGAGTTGATTTGCGGAGTTAGTATTTGTTTTTCTATATTTGATTTGTTATTTTGAAAGAAATTAATTTGATATTTGGTATATACTGATGTCAGACAAAATTTTAGGGATTAAGATTGGGATACCAAATTTATCTTGGGATTGAGATTGAGTTTATGACACTATTTGATATTGGGATACCGATACTATACCAATTTCTATCCCTACCTATGGAGGTTCAGTGAGAGCTCCAAACTATGACTATGGTTACATTTACAAAGGAAGGACAAACGCTTGGCGTAGGTGTCAAGTGTGTGGTTTTGAGAACCTTTGTCTATGTCGACCCCTCCTCCTATTTATAGGCATGTGGTAATCGTTTTGGAGAACTGTCTGCTTGATAACTGCTACAATGAATAGCTTCCATCTTCCTTGGACGTGGCTGACGTGTCTTCAAATATAGGATAATTAACAATTGCTCTCCCAACCGCCTAGGCGCCTCTCTTGCTGGAGTTAAATTCTTGGAATGCAGCTTGCCTCGCGACTACATGCCCTCGTGGTCATGAGGCATGTCATGACACGACCTCTTATGAGAAGTTCACTTCTCTTTTGACTCATATCTATGCTGGCGAAGGATTTATAAGTTTGGGTTTAAAAATTAGATTCATGAAACCCAATTTAAACAACATTAATTTATCTAATTAATCTAACCTTATAAAAATATTCATCCCCTTGTAAATAATCAATTTGGTATGAGGCAATTTTTTTTGGTATAAACAGTACTAGACATTCTAATCTATAATACATTAAATTCGTCCATGAATATAAATTAATGACAAACATATATATTTCATAATGAAAGAAACCAAAAGAGTCGTGAACAAGGTTGCCAAATCGGTTTATACCGTTGTTTTGGTTTAGCAAGTGGAATGATACGACTAGTAGTCAATCGGTTTGTGCCGATTCATGCCGACTTAATATATGACATTCCCAATAAAATAACAAATACTCATATTTAAATACAACATTTAACGTCAATATCTAAACGTTTATACCTGAATCCAACAAATTACATTACCTTTAACTTTTATATTCATAAACCATATAATAAATTCATTTTTTATCAATCAAATTTACTAAAATGACATCATTTTACTTAGATTTTATAAATCAATCATGCTGGTCATATCATTAGTGTTTATGCCGATTTTATGTTGCCACCGGCATGACAACCATGACCGTGAATAACTAACTTTTTAGATATGAAACCGTACTAGAATCACTGGTCGAGCCGATTCAACCTGTTATGGGCCGAGCCAGCGCTATGATGTCTGTTTTTTTTTTTTTTTTTCCGTCCGGGTAATCAAAATCAATCTACGAAAAGGAAAAAGGAAATCCAGCCAAATCAAGTCCGTCCCCTTCGTTAATAAATTGGCAAAAAGGACAATGACCAACCAAATTCTTCGCGATTAGGGTTCTGCGCAAAGCGGAACTCCGCAAAATCGAAAAAGCTTTCGGACCCAAAATCCTCACCAACATATCCTCCCCTGTCCTCCGGTCGTCCCACCACCAGTTCTCCGTCAGTCAGCTCTATCATACCCACCGCCGCCGCGGCCTCTTCTCCACCTCTCGCCAGTTCACGGCTGAAGTAGAGAGGAAGTACTTGTCGCGTCGTCGACAATGGGGAATTCAGGGAAGGAGGCCGATGCATCCCTTGGCTACCTGACCAGGAAGGACACGGAGGTGAAGCTCCCCCGTCCTACTCGGGTCAAGAACAAGACCCCAGCTCCGATTCAAATCACCGCCGAGCAGATTCTCCGCGAGGCACGCGAGCGGCAGGAAGCCGAAATCCGCCCTCCCAAGCAGAAAATCACCGACACCGGTGAGCTTGCGGACTACCGTCTCCGCAAGAGGAAGGAGTACGAAGACCTGATCCGGCGGGTCAGGTGGAACATCAGCGTTTGGGTGAAGTATGCTCAGTGGGAGGAGTCCCAGAAGGATTTCAGCCGAGCTCGCTCCGTCTGGGAGCGAGCTCTCGAAGTTGACTACCGCAACCACACGTTGTGGCTCAAGTATGCCGATTTCGAGATGAAGAACAAGTTCATTAATCATGCTAGGAATGTCTGGGACAGGGCAGTCAGTCTTTTACCCAGAGTGGATCAGCTATGGTATAAGTATATACATATGGAGGAAATGCTTGGTAATGTAGCTGGTGCCCGCCAGATCTTTGAGAGGTGGATGGATTGGATGCCTGACCAGCAAGGTTGGCTTTCCTTTATCAAATTTGAGCTTCGGTATAACGAGATTGAGCGTGCTCGAGGAATTTATGAGAGATTTGTTGAGTGTCACCCTAAGGTTACTGCGTGGATTAGGTTCGCCAAGTTTGAGATGAAGAATGGTGACATTGCTAGGGCTAGAAATGTGTACGAGCGTGCGGTTGAGAAGCTGTCTGAGGATGAGGAAGCAGAGAATTTGTTTGTGGCATTTGCCGAGTTTGAAGAGAGATGCAAGGAAACTGAACGTGCTCGGTGTATATACAAGTTTGCTTTAGATCATATCCCTAAGGGAAGTGCCGAGGATCTGTATAGGAAGTTTGTTGCTTTTGAGAAGCAGTATGGAGATAAGGAGGGGATAGAGGATGCGATAGTCAGTAAAAGGAGATTCCAGTATGAAGATGAAGTGAGGAAAAACCCGCTCAATTATGATGCTTGGTTTGATTACATTCGGCTGGAAGAAAGTGTTGGGGAGAAGAATAGAGTTAGAGAGGTTTATGAACGTGCCATTGCTAATGAGCCTCCTGCGCCGGAGAAGAGATATTGGCAGCGATATATCTATTTGTGGTACACTGTTTAGTCTGTTTATTGGTTGTGGATAGAACTTGGTTTTTCTTTACTCCGTGAGTAATTACGTTTCCCTTTCTTTGGTTTTGTTATTCAGGATAAACTATGCCCTCTATGAAGAGCTGGATGCAGAAGATGTTGAGCGAACAAGGGCGGTCTACAGGTAAACAAACTTTTAGGCTATATATTATGTTGGTAGTTTCTGCGCTGCCATTTTGTTCTCACTAGTTGATATTTAGGTTTTATAATGTTTTATGTTAAGTGAATGTGTGTAAGACTGTACTTGTACTTATTTATGCTTACCTGTGTATTTATTTTGACTTGCCTGCACCTGCATGGTTTTCAATGGAAGCTGAACCAAACTTGAGTGGCTTTCTGACACTAGTACGATGGTTCTAGGTTGTGCTTGCAACAAATACCTCACGAGAAGTTCTCATTTGCTAAGATTTGGCTTTTAGCTGCCCAGTTTGAGATCCGCCATTTAAATCTGAAGGGTGCTAGACAGATTTTAGGCAATGCAATTGGAAAGGCTCCAAAGGACAAGGTAAGTTTTAGGAGCATTGTTGAGTGTTGGGAAACTTAGCACACACTGTTATTTTTGGTTCTAACTTCTTGCTTGTGAACATACAGATATTCAAGAAATATATTGAGATAGAGTTGCAGCTTGGTAATATGGACCGTTGCCGGAAACTTTATGAGAAGTACCTGGAGTGGTCCCCTCAAAATTGCTATGCCTGGAGTAAATTTGCCGAGTTGGAGAGATCCCTTGGTGAAACTGAGAGAGCAAGAGCAATTTTTGAGCTAGCCATTGCTCAGCCAGCCTTGGATATGCCTGAGCTTCTGTGGAAGGTAGTGCCTATAATCTCTGTTTTAGTCAAAAGCCTCTCTCCCTGTCATTGTTGATGTTTTGTAGGTTTAGTTTCTTCAATGGTGTTCCTCAATCCTCATTAAAGAACTTGGCATAACTAATTGATAGCTTCCCCAGTGGCTTGATGGTAGCATAATTTTTTTTTTCCTGCACTGCTTATGGATTCTGTGGAATGTTGTCTATGAATTGGAAAATTGAATCTTCTCTCATCTAACTGCAGGCATATGTTGATTTTGAAATCTCTGAGAAGCAAATCGATAGAACACGGCAACTTTATGAGAGACTGTTGGATCGGACCAAGCACCTGAAAGTCTGGATCAGCTATGCAAAGTTTGAAGCTTCCGCAATGCTCCCCATGGGGAATGATGAAGATGATGATGATTCGGAGGAGGCTACAGTTTCTGAGGATCAGAAGAAAGCTACAATTTCTGAGGATCAGATGAAATTGTGTATTCAAAACGCAAGAAGTAAGCTTTCTATCACTATTTATATCTCTTGTATTATTCTGTTTCATGTTGTCCGGATCATTTTTTAATTCATTTCAACAACTACTTTTGTTTATGGATATCAGGTGTTTTTGAGAAAGCCCTCAACTACTTCAGAACTACTGCTCCTGAGCTGAAAGAGGAGCGGGCGATGCTTCTAGAAGAATGGCTCAACATGGAGAGCAGCTTTGGCGAGCTTGGTGATGTCGCTTTGGTCCAGCCTAAGCTACCCAAGAAGTTAAAAAGGAGGCGGCCAATCAGTTCAGAAGATGGTATCTCTGGGTATGTACTTCGAAGCTTACCTAACTTTACAATCTCTGTCGTTTTCCATCGTTCGACTTCGATTGCTTTCGTTGTTAGCAGCAAGTTTAACAAATGTGGGGATGTTTGTTTTCTTCTCAGGATGGAAGATTATGTCGACTATGTGTTCCCGGAGGAAAATAATGCTCCAAACCTAAAGATCTTGGAAGCGGCTTACAAATGGAAGAAACAAAGGCTTTCTTCTTCAGACGATTAGCCGAAATCTCTCTGTTGTTTGTTCTGGGTTAATTCACTTTGGCTATGTACAGATCGTTGGGGGTGTTTATGGTGCTTTGGAGCAAAAAGGATGCCAACCATGTCCACCGGAACCTTAGAATGCCTGTTTTAACTTGGAAAAATTGAGTGTCCTAGTTTTGACATTGAAGCGAGTAGGGAAGAAGAAACGGCTGTGTGTTGATTCTGTTATTGTTAGCCCTTTTTTTTTTTTTTGACAACCTGTTATTGTTAGCCCGAGATTGGATTACTTGCGCACTTACTTACTAGTGTACTTGTTCTATGAAAACCGTTTGAAGCAGGAATCAGATGGGTAACATTAGGTTTTTTTCTGTCAATTTACAGCGTTGTGTTTTATTTTGTGTTTTACTACGCCACAGCCGATCCATCTATCAAGAAAATAGAAAGAACCTAATAAATGAACACTGTCACAAACAGACAGAGTTGGCTTGACTCTCTATAAACCCATAATTTCGGAATTAAATTTTGTATATGTGTATTTTAAAAAATGTTATTGTTTTTGGGTGATATATGTCTGTTTTTTAGTTGAATGTTACTTAGAGGATTAGAATCTGGAACCAAGTTTTTTTGTTCGAAAAAAAAGAAGTTATTGTTGATATGATACATTTTATAAATGAATTGTGAGTTTTGCATTTTTTTTTCCAGATTTAGATCGGATGGTGAAACGAAAAAAGTTGGTAGTTGATGGTTCAATGATTAACGGTTATGAAATCGTTGGTAACTGTTGATAGAACCGTTCATGCACAATAATATAAAAAGCATATATAATATACTAATTTAGAAGTGAATTTATCACTGATCATAAAAAAAAATTCAAATTCATATCATCTATCACCAAAAAGTTCTAACAAAGTATTCAAATTGTCTCTCAAAAGAAATTATAATTTTTTTTATTAAATTCAAATTAGTAAAAAGAATGACAATATGTAGTGAACCACATTAATCCAATAAGGAGGCTACGAAATGATTTTTTTTTTAAATGATTGAGGTTGGATAGTTTTAGTTTACGTTAACGTATTTTATTATTAATTTTTTCGTGATGAAACTAATAGTTCATCTGGCTTCGTGTCAAACTGTTTAAAATCATTTGGTCCATCTATACCGTATAATCAAATGAACCGAAAGCTATTGTAACTATTTTAATGATTCTACGAATCCTTCCGTTGATCCGATTTGGTAAGGAGTTTTGTGATTAAAATACCAAATTATCCTTCAAGATCAATATACAATATACAGTTTTTTTTGGGTTGACAGTTTAGCTGTTTAGGTGACAATCCATCACCAGAATCTACCGCCTAAATGACAAAATAGAAGTCTTCTACCACTCACTTACCCTTCCGCGATTAACTTCCACGCTCCTTAGTTCTTACGCCCACCCAACGTTGTCAAACCCGTTTGTGCCCGTGTGTCGATTAAGCAAGTGAAATGGTTTGATCGGTGGTACATATCGGTTTGTGCCGGTTCATGCCGGTTAATATTACAAATAATTTACAAATACTCATATTTAAGTACGACATTTAACGTCAATAACTAAATATTTGTACTTGAATCCAACAAATAACATCAACATTTAACTTTTTAACACATAAAATAAATAATAAATTACTTTTTATCAAATAAATTCACTAATATAAGATCATTTTACTTAGAGATTCGTATATCGATCATGTCGGTCATAGCAATGGTGTCATACCGATTTTATGACCGGTACAGATTGAACCATGTTCAATTAGTGACACCCACGTCGGCCGGCGTGACAACCATGCGCCCACCTAACACAGCCCAACAAAACAAACGGAAGCTTTTTAATTTTGCTCCTCTCATTGTTAGTAATATCTTTTTTTGTTGTATTTTTCCTCTTGTTTTTTTATGGAAGGGATATTTTTCCTTCCTGTTTAAGAACTGCTCTGCAGTCTGCACCCCAGTTGGAGAAAATTTCTGTACAAAAATCTCTCTCTGCAACTTCGGGGGCTTGGGGTCTATTCAACGACACCGGCCGATTCGAGTTTGACTCAGTCCCCCAACCCGCAACGCCAGTCTCCCCTCCTCTCCCTTCTTCAGTTTTCCCTGCGCCGGCGAGGTAATTGAACTCCAGCTGGGTTGCTTCTGCTGTCGAGCTACAATGGGCTCAGTTGCACAGGTGAAGATTTCTTTTCTTTTTCTATGCTATAATCAGAACCAGGGTTGACTCGGTGGGATTCATGACTGACTGGTTTGTCGTTTTCTTCTGGTGATCAAGGGTTTTACCAAGTCTCTGGCGATGACTATTCTGTCCGAGATCGGCGACAAGACCTTCATCGCCGCCGCGGTGAGTTTTTTTCCTTCTCTTCTCATAGAAATCTCTTTGATTGCTGGGTTTGATCGGAAACATGATATTGTATTCTCCGGCTTGGCTCCGATTGTTTCTGGAATATTTTTTGCTGCTGGAGCAGGATGTGGAGGAAGCCAATTTAGAATCAAAGTATATATGCCAAAGTGAAGTAGATTAGCTATAGATAGGTACTCATCGTAAAATCTGATTGCTTTAGTAAACTTTGGAGGAATTGAGAAACCATTGTATCTATAAGTTGATAACAAAGTCATATAAGTTCTGTCAATTATTCCTCCCTTTTCAAGGCAAGTTTCTTGAATTTTAAGCTTCCACATAAATGGGTATATTAAGTGACTGGATTGACGTAACCAACTGGCTACCCATTTTTGAAATTTTCGTTCTCCACTATGGGTACATGTTACATGTAAGTACAGTTCTACTTCCCCTCTATCTTGACATGTACCGTGTCATGCACGGGGTTCTGTTTATACCCCTAAATGATGAAGCCCCTTGAGGTTTTGTAAGATCATCTGAGGGGTCGCTTCCATGGTATTGGTATTGGATGCAGTAGCAGCAAGTCATTGATGTTGTTGTACTTTGCTCAAAAGATGCTTATAACTGCACTTGTTTTCAGTTACTCGTCTGAACTTTTGCCTGTGATGATTCATGTGCCGTACTTGCAGGTTTCAACACTTTTTAAGTCCCTAAATTTTTTTGTTGTGATTGCTTTGAACTCCCCAATTTAGACCATTGACACCTTTGTTAACTTTTGGATTCATTGTACCTGTTTCTGAAAACTTGTATTTTGTGTGTTCGTTTTGGCTCATCTGTAACTTTTGTTTGTTTCAAGATATTGGCAATGCGCCATCCAAGGAGGCTTGTTTTGGCAGGATGCCTGGGTGCATTGATCGTAAGTGTGTTTTACATCTCCTTCATCTTGATATGTTGGGACACCCATGCATTGGCAGCTAATTTAATACCATAATAATAACATTTTGCAGGTTATGACTATGCTTTCTGCTGTTGTCGGTTGGGCTGCTCCAAATCTGGTACGACCTAGCTAGAAGAGTTTTGTGCTTTTGTGAGAAGTTGGCAGAAAATCGGTTTTCTTTTTCAATGTCCTCTGTGTTGCTGCACCATTGTGACCTACTTTTCATAATGGTTTACATACGTCATGAAGTTTAAGGCCCATTAATATCTTAGAAATTGAAACATTTGGTCAGCTTTGTGAGACCAAACAAAAAGTGATCATGTTTCGTACATGTCCTCTTTAGAACTGGTGCTGTGTTGTATTACCATGTGAAAATCTCACTCATGTTTTTGTAACTTTCGTTTCTGTTTTTGTGCTGTGCTTTAGTGGTTATCTTTGCATTTTCATCAGTTGGGGAGTTCTAGGTGCAATTGTTTAATTAACGTCTTCTCCATTATATTCTAGGTTATACTGTAGTGTCTCATTATGTTTTAGGTTACAGTGTCTGAGTTTCTGTGCGCCCTCCTTTTTACTTAATGGTTCAATTTGTTTATGCAGCTCTCTCGTACATGGACACATCATATCACGACAGTATTGTTTTTTGGCTTTGGGCTTTGGTCTTTGTGGGATGGATTTAAAGGAGATGGGTATGTTACTTTTCTGATCATTCTCTTGAGCTCATCTTGCTTGTTCTATTATTTCATTTAGCTTGTTTCTTTCTTGCCCTTTTCATCTTCTTTATGTTTTCTTTCATTGGTTTCAATTCTTTTCTGTTCAATAGGGATGCTGATGAATTGGCTGAAGTGGAAGCAGAATTGGTAATTATCTGTTGTAATGACATTTTACATTCAAGTGAATCCTATTTAACTTTTCCTTAATCTGCATTGTAGGATGCTGATTGGAAATCTAGTGCTGGAACGAACAAGGAAGATAGCAAGGTAAAGTACAAGTGCCGAGATTTTAGTAGCGGTTATGATTTCGGGCATCTGTTGATATTTTTCAAAGCTTTCATGATCGATTACTTTTAGCTTCTCTACTCACCCAAGTCATTCCTAATGTATTTGCTTGAACCTTTTGACAGAATGGGGATGAGTCAAAAAAGAAAAGGCGGCCATTTATGGCACAGTTCTTTTCACCTATTTTGTTGAAGGTAATAGGTTTGTTTTCCTACATTGTTCTCTGAAACATCGGAAGCTCACCTGGTTTCTTTCGTGCTTGCTGTTTCAGGCTTTCTCCATTACATTCTTTGGTGAATGGGGCGACAAGAGTCAGGTACAGATGATCAATGCTGCGATCTTTCTATGAACATGCATGTTCAAATGTTGAGTTGTTTCTCAAATTCTCACTCTGAGCTTCATCTGTTTCAGCTAGCTACTATTGGTTTGGCAGCTGATGAGAATCCATTTGGTGTTGTTCTTGGTGGGATTTTGTACGTGATAAAAGTTTATTGCTTTTTGGTTGGTAGTTTATGAATTTTGTCAACATTTTAGAGCATCACTAATTATTTTCGTGTTGATTTTTCATTCCGATTTCTCCTGTTCGGCTGACCCCAATTATCAGAGGACAAGCATTGTGTACAACTGCTGCTGTTGTAGGAGGGAAGAGCTTGGCCTCACAGATATCTGAGAGAATGGTGTGTAGATACTCTGCTTATGCACACTAGCTTGGTTGAAAAATTGTTGTGCATTTATTCTTCTTTTCCCTTTTTTGTTTCTTGGAGGCAGCTGTGCGTTTGTTCTACTCATTTCACGAGAGTGATGAATTAATTATGATTTCATATTTTTTCTTTAATGGGCATGATTTCATGTTTCAGGTTGCCCTCTCAGGTGGAATTCTATTCATTGTATTTGGCATCCAATCCTTTCTTTCAGACGTCAGCTAAAAGGAGCGAGAAGCTTTATAAACTATACTAACGGTTAGTAACTACAAGCTGCAATACATAACTATTTGATCGTTTCAGAGTTGATCATTCATCTCATATAAGGGGCTGCTAATGATGTCATGAGCAGAGAAAGCTGCTTTTGACACCGTATGGATAATCGAAACTAATCATAGGTTTGTTCTTACATCCAGAGGGATAGCAAAGGTGGCTCATCTATTCCTAGAAACCACAGGCGTGGAGGAAGTCTGCTATTAATTTAGGCTCGGCCAAGTTCCAGAGCGGTACTCTCTTTGTAACGAAAGATTGGTCTATCTGAATGAGGAGGATACTGCGCCATATTTCTGGCATCGGAGGATGTTTGGTGGAACTACTGTGTGGCTGAGCAGATGATTTAACACGCCTTTACCTGGGGACTTAAATAAGAACATTTTCTTTTTATAGTGCTGCCTGTGTAGCTTTTGTCACCTCCAACAAGCTCATGGGGGTTCCAGATAATCAAATCTGCATTGACCTCACTCTCAGTCGCCAAGATTGTATAATGGAACGTTGCCAAAATTGGATTAGACTTTATGGACTTCTCATCTTTTCTTGTTCAGTAAAATTACTACCACAGCTGCTAAATAGTAGTGCTGAAGTCGATGAATAGGGTAAAAGTTCCTTTACTCAAAAGGACTAAAACCATTTGCCACCACTTCTGCATCCAACCCATTGGATGTTACGAGTATTGGCATCACATACCTTTTCTTTTCAGTACTGTTTCCATATATATACACACCCTATCCCCAATACAACTAACAGTGGCACTATAGAGAAGCAACCTCAAGAGAGGTATTATCATTCTGTTCAGGCTGCCTCATTCAACATCCACCGCTCGCAGGTTCAATTGAACTCAACAGACCGTTCCCTCTCAGCTGTGTGCAATGATCCTCCGCGTCAGCTTGGGCACATATAATCACCACTGCTAACCCATTGATATGTGCCTCTTGCATTATGTTGACTGCATTATCCACCGTCATCCCGGGTATAACCTTCATCAGCACTTGGACTACGTATTCCCGTTTGTTGAAATTGTCATTGTGCAGCATCACACGATAAGGGGGTGACATTTTCCTCGATTTCCTGGACATTAAACAAAACAGTAATGCTGGTGACAATCACAATCATAGATTTGATTTGATCTCAGCTTGAAGTTAAAATGAATGATGGAGAAGTTACCTCAAGTCAAACTCAGAGTCACGGCCAGGAGTGGTTTTCTCAATCACTGGTCTGTCCAGTACACCTCCCCCTTTACCTGGCGCTGCTGCTGATACTGCCATGAGAATCCCACGGACGTTACATCTCCCTCGACATAGAGAGTGTTTATCCCCTGGTAATGCATTAGTAACTTTTCAGACACTGGTAAAAGGTCAAACAACATAAGCCACCTAATAGATATCCATGCAGATGCACTATGACCTCTGTTCAAGGGTACTTTGTAAAAGACAGAAAGTCCCCAAATGTTTAGAAACCATGGAATATTAGATTGTCAACAGAGCTAGAATAACAAATTCAACTTAGCAGAATCGAGAAATACATCACATAGATAAATATTTGCTGCTTGGGGCCAAGAATCAACAATAGACGGATAACTATGTGCCAAAAAGGAATGCAGTATCGTATGGAGCACTTGCAAATGACCCAAATATGCAATTTACAGCTCGGATGAATTGAAAAGTGATCAAATGAGAAACCAAAGAAGCAATGTAATACCTTACAGAAGCAGCAATAAGAAAATTTAATCTAAAAACGGAACTCCTACAAGCCATCCATGATGGTTCTGCCTCATGCTACGACATGTGTCATTGTGTAAAAATGTGCGTGCGAAAGCAATGAACACTAGTCAGGCAGGCAATCTAGATAAATTCGTTTCAACTGACAAGCATGTAATGGCCTAAACTAAAGCAAGCGTATAACAATACATGTTAGCAGCGAGTTAAGTACTCCACGGGGGTAAGCCCTATAATATCCAACCCATTCACAAACACTCCAGACAACTAATGGTGGATTCCACCAATTCAACAACAAAATGCACGCAGCCATACCAGAGCACAGAGTTACTAATCAGTCAACACTCAACCAAACTGAACTCTAGCAATCTTGTACTGTTATCTTTTGTAATCCATCTACTAAGCAGAACTAATAAAGAGCTTCTATTCTATTCACCATTCAAGGAAACAAAAGAAACCCAATTGAAGAAGACTCAAAATACTGAAAATAAACCACCCAAAGTATGAAGCAGCTATTCGTCCAGCTTCTGCCAAGTGTACAACAGTTACCCCATTGATTACCCATCAGCTGGGGAGAAACACCAGAAAGAAATCCAATTCATGGGGGGCATATCAAGAACTAACTGTCCAGGAAACAACTAACCCAATTGAATTGGCGGCGAGTTGGGTTGAATTAAAGAGGAAAAGGGGCGAAATTACTACATAGTTCTAGCGGTCTCAATTCCCGTGGAGAAAAGGAATTGACGAAGCTGATAACAGAAATCGACCATAAACGGTAAAAGGGTTGGAGATTGAGAAAGGAGCAATAATCTGGATCCCAAAATCAAAAGCAAGAGAACGGGGAAGGGAAACCTGGCTTGGGATTGAAGACGGGATTGGGTGAGAGACCGATTCTCCCACAGAAGGCAGTTTCCATTTCTCTCTGCTTTCCTCTTCCCCGTTCCTTTTCTTAATTTTCGCCCAAAAAAATAACACCACTCTCCTCTGCTTACTGAGATATTGTTTTCCTCGAAATTTATTCCATTTTTCTCTCATTACTATTTCGTTATTTTTTATCTTTCCATTTCCACCTCATATTTTTTTTATGGAAAATTGAAAATAAATATATACTCGTATGGAGGGGAAAAAATTGGTGGTTAATTCAACGGAAAAAAGATAAATAGGTGGCTGAAAAGGTGGTGGGAAACACGTTCTATGTAGACGCCGTTATGGCCACCCAAAACAGAAATAAATGCAAACAAAAATATCAGCTTGGAATGAAAACGTTGGAACAAGAACCTGTTTTGTCTTTCACGATTTCATGCTCACCACTCACCGGCTTGAGTTCGAGTCGTTAAACCTCATTTCTTAAGGAAAATTTTAAAATCTTTCTATTGATTGATAGTGGATTAGGTAGTTAATAGCGGTTAGTAATTAATAGGTAGTTAATGATAAATAGGGTTATGCAAATATAATTAATTAATGATTCTCTTTCTCTCTCCTCTCATGATTTTCTCCATTATCCTCTCTACATTATAATTAAAAAGAAATATGAAATTAATTTTATATAATATTTAATAAAATCCAAATTTAATAATTTTCTTTTTCCAAAATGGAAATTTGGAATTTAAAATATATGCCTCTCTCACATCTTGGCAACTTATTATAATTAAAAAGAAATATGAAATTAATTTTATATAATATTTAATAAAATGGATATTTAATAATTTTCTTTTTCCAAAATGAAAATTTGGAATTTAAAACATATGCCTCTCTCACATCGTGGCAACTTCTGATTAGTATTAAGTATTAACATTTTGTAATGACATTATCAATATTTATAAATTGAATCATCATTAGGGCTTTTCATTGCACGGGTTTGAGATTTTTCGTTGTTAGGTATTCGTTTGTGTTATTATTAATGTTGTTCGACATGTTTTTTAATAATTTTATATGACATTATTGACTTTTTATGTTATGTTTTGTTTGTAACATTAGTAAAAGTGAGATTGTGTTTTCAATTTGTTGGTGTTTGAAATTTATTTACTATTATATCGTATTATCAATTTGGTTCGCAATGATTTATAATCATTTGAAGTGCTATTATTAATGTTTTTTTTCAAGCACAATACAACCATTAGAAAAAATTTATTTCATTTGTAAGATTGCTTATGTTTAGTGATTTGAATTATTAATATTTTTTCGTTTATATATGTTTGTAATTTTGTCAAATGTCATTATCAAGAAGCATACTTGTTAGATATTTGTTTGTTTATGACATTATCAAAAGTGAATTTGCGTTTAATGATATAACTATGATTATTAATCTTTCAGTCTAAGTTAGTAACGTAGTTGGTGTCATTATTAATAGGTGTGTATAAGCATTATCAATGTTTGAAAATAAGATATTAATAATATCTAATAAGGTACTTAACAATCATTAGTTGCTATCATTATCAAAGTTTTTGGATGCATTATCCATTAACACATGTTACTTATTAATGCATTTTTAGTGCTATTTAACATTAAACATTGCATCTGAATATTACTAATATTTTTTTATTACAAAAATCTATTTCCTTATCAGTGACTTGATCATTCGATATTAATGGTTTTTACTATCTTTATTAAAAGTTTGATGTCATTTATAATATTGAAGTCATACATTTTTACATTGATGTTTTGTGTTTATTTTCAACAAAATACTTTTCGTTATCAATGATTTATTGTATTGTTATTAAAAGTTTGGTGTTGAGGCGTGAATGTTGGTTTGCTTGAGCTAATATTTTTCTGGACAATGTTTGTTTGACTGAATCACACAGGTGCACTATGTCACAAGTACCCAAGATGTTGAAAATCAGTATTGTGCTTTATGATAATTGAGAATGATAATGTAAAGCAATATTAATTGATCATAAAACGTTATTAATGTCAATAGAAATCATTGGAAGAGGCCATGACTAGATAGTAATAAACATGATGTGAAAATGTGAATCATTAGTACTAAAGATGTTGTAAATCAATGGTATTGTTATTCAAACTATTAATGACTATGTTACATAACTTTAATGATTCATTCATAGGCGTTGATGACGAAACTATAAAACAGTAACAATTGATACAAAATTGTTAATAATGTAATTGTAAGGAATTGATAAGTATATTGAAGTCGTTAATAATGATGAGGTATAATTAATAATGATTCATTTCATAAATGTTGATAGTGTCATTGAAAATTGTTAATATTGTATTGTAAGTTGTCACAAAGTGAGAGAGCATATATTTTTAATTTTCAATTTTCAATTTAAAAATTTAAAAATATTAAGTTCGAATTTATTAAATTTTAAATAATAATATTTAATTAAATTAATTTCGAATTTCCTTTTAGTTGTAGTGGAGAGAGAGGGTTATGGAGAAGATCAAGAGAGAGAGAGAAAGAGAATCATTAATGAGTAATATTAATTATATTTTCATAATATCTTATTTATTCTAATTAACTATTAACTACTAATCCCTCATTAACTACCTAATCTAGTATCAGCCAATAAAAATGGTTTAAGAACCTCCTTAAACAATGAGGCTTAAGAACCGGATCCAACCCGCCACTCACCTTAATCTAGGCTTGTGAAACTGTACCGTAGATCGTTCAACTATAAAAAATACTCTATCAGCGACGGTGTTTAACGGTAAAACAGTTGAACCATGATTTCAATATAAAATAATCTATCATTAGCTTTTTTGGTACAACCTCCGATGCAGTTTCGCAATCTTTAATTGGGGGTGGTTATCCGTACATATTTCGTTACTAGTGGAGGACAGGTAAGAGCATCTCCAATGGTGTCATCTACATGCAATTTCAAGTGTGGTCCCTACTACCACATCATCAACTTTAACAATTATCTCACTCTTCATTTCATACAACCTACATCAATGTCATCCACTTGCAATTGCAATTGTGGGCCCTAATTACTTTTTAATACAAATCAATATTCATATTATCTCCACCATTTTACTAAAATATTATAATATCCTTTCAACTTAAATTAGCAACTTCCTATAACTAATATCAATTAAAGTCAATAAATAGAATTATAAATTTAATGTTACTAATTATATAAAATATTTTATGTATTAATTAGTTGTCTTAACGTGTTTAGTGTGTTTTCTTTTCAATTTGGACTTTGCGGATGTAATACTTTAAAGTATATATGAATCTTTAAGGTTTGTTTGTAGTATTGTTTTATTTATACAAAAATGATTATCGTTACTATTAACTAAATACATATACATATGTGTGTATGTGATAGGAAGGATAGAAAGAAATATATTTACAACATATAATTGGTGGTGGAAGCAAGAAAGAAAAAAACAAATGAACAAGAAAGAAGGGAAAAGAAAGAAAAGACAAATTGGTGGGGCCCTGTTGCAATTGCATACCAATTTGCATGGTGTGCAAATTTGCACCATTTGCAAATGATGTCACATCAATGCAAATCACTTTCTCATTTTCATCTCTCTGCCACATAGGCTTGCAATTCACCTCATTTGCACCATTGGGGATGGTCTAAGGTTGTTTCACCGTAGATATAGTGGTTGCAGGATGGTATTAGTTAGGTTCATTGAGTCACTTATTAGATACAAACATACTCCCAAATTTCATGAACAATCATTCACAGCGGCGAATTCAGGATAGGATACAACACTGAGCCACAATTGAAAAGAGCTGAAGAGTACTGGACCGTAACCTAACGCGAGCACTTAAAAAGAACACCTAAAATTGAAATTTACAAGAGCTATAATACTAGCTATGCATTTAAGGGGGGAAAATCATCTTTGTCAAACTTTACAACATACATGAGTCAATACTAGATAAATAAATTATCAAAGAGTAGATGACAAATATTGGACATTTTTACATGTTCTGGATTTAGCTAAGAGTTGATATTCATTAAGAGTTGAATGTCTTGGGTTGGAACCAATGTTTACATGTTCTGGATTTAGCTAAGAAGAAAATAATAATAACAATTCCACTGTTTATTACACCTCAAAACTTAAATTTCCTCATGTAAATCTGACATGCAAAATTAAAAATAAAAAGAAAAATCCGAAAAACTCATGACTATCAAACCCGACACATCACAATAATGAATAAACTTCACTTTTTCATCAAGTCATACCATCTAGCTAGCTAGTAATTAGATGGCGAAATCCACACGAAATAACTCGAGGCACGAGGATCCAAACTAGCAAAACACTTCTTTTCACATGGACCACCACCGATATAGAATATACCCCGCCCGCATATGATAAATACAATTTCGTTTGCACTCGGGATGCTCTATGGTGGAAACAAATATAGCCTTATAGCTATCACAAAACAAGGCATAATCACCCATCGTATCAACTTTAACCTACTAGCAAAATAAGGGTCCATTTCATATAATTTCAAACTTTTGTTATCGTATCAACTATCGTTATAGATTAAAAATTTGTGATAAGTAAATTTTTTTTATAACTGTTTATTTTAATTTACTGCAACTTACCCGTGTCCAGCTGTAACGGAACGGAAAGACCCCACCTTCGCGTATGAGGATCTGGTCGTGATTGGACCCAACGAGGTCAAAGGTCGCAAACTGCCCCTTCCGATCCATCGCATGAAACCGTTCCTTCCAAAACACAATTTCCAAGTCCCCAACAAAATTCAACCTCTCGACCTCAGGGATCAACCTCCACCGTTGATCCCTTCCCAGCTTGCAAAATGCTAGGGCAATCCGACCGTCGATATAATTATTATTATAGTCACGATACAATATCATGACGAGGCAGCCCTCCGTGCTCGTCGGCGCCACCGACATAGCGAATCCCCTGACGGCGGCGGTAGTTGAGGGTAAAAGGATCTGAGCTCCCGTAAAAGGGTTTAACAAGTAGAGAGAATCT